AGATGGTAGTCAGTGACTATGAAAAAAGATCTCTTAAAATTAGTAAGGGACCATGAGAAATCAATCTGACAGCTGCTAGAAGACACAAAGAAGAATAATATAAGACTGACAGGTGTCCTCAAAAAAGAAAAAGAAAATACAAAAGACATTAAAAAACTGTTCACAGAATTAATGACTGGAAACTTCCCAGAGTGAAAGAATTTGACATATGGATAAGTGAGGCATATAGGACTCCAACTAGCCATGATAAAAAAACAAAACAAAACAAAACTATACCTAGACATATACTAATCAAGATCCAAAAAACCCAGGAGAAGAACAAAACACTATAAGCAGTTAGAGGGGAAAAAAAATCATATACAAAGGAAAGCCCATCAGAATCAGAGGCTTTTCAATACAAACCCTCAAGTCAAGGAGAGCCTGGAGTGAGGTATTTCAAGCCCTACAAGAAAACAACCGATGTATCCTGCAAAACTATCTTTCAAAATTGTTGGGGAAATAAGATACTTCCATGACAAAGAATACCTCAGAGACTTCATGAATACCGTATCAGCACTCCAAACAATTACACACATGTGTAAATACTGAATAGTTTCTCTGACATGAAAAACTGAAAGTATAAATAAGGATTAAAATGAATAATTGATAATGTGAAATAGGAAGAAAAGGTCTAAACGGGGTAGGCAAAGTGGGAGAGATAGGGGAAAGGAAAGAAGGGAAAGGAAAAAAATATGAGATAAAAAATAAATGGAAAGAAAGCTTTTGCAAATAGGGAGGGTAGAGGGGATGAAGGAAGGGTAGGGGAATGGGGAAAAAATAAGAACCAAGATACAAGCACAAGTTCCCAATGCAAAATGTAAATGTATTGTATACCTAAAATCTACCAATAAAAGAATATAAGAGGAAAAAAAATCTCAGAGATGTTGTGATTTTTCTCCTTGACTTTGATGAAAAAGTCAATTCTATCTAAAGCTCCAAGACCAGGCACAAACAAAACCAGACACAGAAACTGATATTAGGTGTTAGAATCACACTCTCTTGAGGTCTTCTCCATGGAGGTTAGAGAACTGACCAGAAGATGTGGATCCTGACAAGTAGTACTACTGGAGAAAAGTGAGACAGCTCAGTGCTACAGCCAAGTGTTACAGCTCTGGGTTACAGCTAAAGCAACAGAAGACAGGAGAATCCAGAAGCCACTGGAAGAGGTGGAGAAAAACCTTTTATTAGCTTAGTTTTAAGCACTCTGAATTCTGAGCCCCAAGTTGCACTGAGAGTGAGTTTACTTACAGTTGGGGGAGGAAATTGAGAGGAACCTTTTAGGGTAGCAGATAAATCTAGAAGGGCAACCTGTTGGTGGTGGAGTTACCAGAATGTTCTTGAAACCTTAGGTAGAAACACTGCACATATAAACAGTTACATTGTTTGAACAGAACACTTTTGATACATTGGGCAGGTACATTGCGCAAGGTAGTTACAGAACATTTTGATATATTGGGCAGGAACATCGCTTAGCACACATGGTTACATTTCTTGTACAGAACACTTTATGGCAAATACATGGGAGGGGGCAAAGACCTGCTCTGTTTTGCGTTATTGCTTTATCATTATAGGTAGCTAAGTTAGTTAGGAATATTATAGGCAGTCAGACTGGGGTAGGCCCTCAAAGAGTCAGCGCAGAAAATAACACCATGTTATAACATGTGGCTGGAGATGCATATTCATTGACGGTCAGGCTTCAAAACAAAAACGAACGACTGTACCCACATACTTTGCTTAGGGATGAACTGCAGTGATTGATATTCTAAATAGGCACCAATCACCACGGGTGGGAGACCACAACCTCTCTAGCTCATTCCTTCCCAGAAAGTCCTTGTTAGTTCTATGTAAGCTTGCTTTTCCATTTTATCCCTATTTAATCAATATCACCTAAGTAACTATATTACCAAAGTGACATAGTTGTAATCTTATTGGCTATAGTTTTGTCCCACCTCATCATATTGCTTTGCTCTATAAAAACCCCTTGAGAAGCGGGGCTCCTGGCCACCCCCTCATCCTTTCTAACTCTCTTAAACAGAAGCTATCTTTCTCTCAAAAAATGCTTCCTACTCTTAATCTCTGTTGTTTCTAGAATTCATTCTTTAGTTTCAGAAAACGTGAACTCAGCATATTGGACATCTAGCAGGTTAAGAGTTATATTTCTTTATATTATTTGGATTATTTAGAGGTGCTATATCATTCTTATGTCAAACTCCCTATATCAGTAGGAGTGGCAATATCTAAGAGGATTTGGAAGACTCAGTGCAGGACTTTTTAAAAGTGTGCTCCTCAGACCAATGGCCTCAACTACATAACAAACCTTTTTAAAATGCCAGTTTTGTAGCCCTACTACAGACCTTGAGATTTTAGGGATGGATACTGCTCTGTTTAAACAAGTCTTCCAGGTGACTAAGGAAGGTTTAATAACAACTTAGCAGATCTGAAGTCCTCAAACTATCCTGATTTGATCCCCAGTACTGAGAATTAAACCCAAGACCATTACATTGAGTCTACATCCCCAGACCTTTTTCAAATTTTTATTTTGAGATAGGGTCTTTCTAAATAGCTAAATTGTTTAGGCTAGGCTCAAACTTGTGATACTCCTGCCTCACCCTCCCAGAGTGCTGGGATTACAGGCATGCACTGCCATGCCCAGCAAATATCCTGAATTTTATCATCATTCTGCCTGTTTTTGCTGAGGAAACTGTCACCTTTATATATGAAAAGCAATAATTCTCCCCTCAGAAGCCAAGCCACACTGTTGTTATGAGAACCAGCATACACATTTAGCACGGTCAGGTAGAGTGGAACATGTTGGGGTGATGCTAAGTACTATACTGGTAGAGAAGAGTTAGAAAAGAATAAGGATACAAGGTTTTTAGCTTTCTAGTCTCTGTAGAGTGAGAAGACACATTAAAGAAAGAAGTAAGAAGGTGCAGTGAACTGATTTTAAATGACTGAGGGGACAAGAAGCTCTTTACAAAAAGCCCTCTGGCCTTGGAATGCTGGGTACAGGAGCTGGCACTGAAATGGGCTCCAAGAAGACAAGGGAATAGTAGAATCTCAGGGTGCCTGAAAATATGTGGAAATTACCAACCATCAAAGATAACTGTTCTTGGCCATGCTAAGAGAAAGAACCATGGCCTTGGGAATTCAATTAAAGAAAAAACAACTATGAATATCTGGTTGTGATAAATTAATCAGGGAACTCCAAAATGTGACATTTTGTTATACTATAATCTTAATCTAATTTATTGCCCCTTCTACCCCAGGCCACCTCAAGTACTAGGACAGAACCACCTGTCTTGAGCCTTAAGAGTTTTATCTTGTTTTATTTTTAATCCACCTACTAGACTCTAGTCATTCAGGGGAACAAATCAACAGTCAGTTGAACTGGAAGTTGAAACTACCACTTGGCCATTTTTACTACTTATACTACCAGGGAACAATCCAAGAAAGGGAGTGTATTAGCCCTGCTTTTTGTTACTGTAATGAAATGTTACATGGTTGGATACTTATGAAGACTCACGGTTTTAGAGCTGAGAGTCTAAATGGCATAGCACTGGATCGGACAAGGACCCCACAGCACACGACAGAGTGCATGCAGGAGAAAGGATCACAACTTGAAACAAGAAGCTGGAGAGCTGAGTGGTTTTAGGCTTGCTCTCTTTGTAACTGCTCTCAGGAGAGCTCAGTTGTATTTTCAACACCCTGAGTACTTCCCACTGTGCCCCAGTTATTAAAAGTTCCATACCATCTCCTACGCCACATGGAGACCAAGTGTCCCTCACTCAGACCTTTGGGTGACACCTACACCACAGCAGGGAGGTTATGGCATTGGTTATTCAGGCGATTTTAAAACATATTCCAAAATCTTTGATACTTCATTCTTTCAAAGGCAAATCTAATTTTCTTCTTGGCTATGGGTCAAACTTAGTAACTTGTCTGTAACAAGCAAATTTCCCTCTAAGCCTTGCTTTTGCTACATCCCACCTATTTTGGTAAGTTGCATTTTATTTAGTTCAAAATATTTGTAAATTTCTCTTGAGATTTCTTCTTTGGTCCAATGTATTATGCTAAAATATATACATTTTCCAAAATATTTTTAAATCTACAAATATTTGGGGATTTTCCATTGTTTTTCTGCTATCAATTTCTAATGTAATTCCACTGTGATCTGAGAACATATGTTGTATCACTTATATAGTCTTTTACATTTGTTGAAGTGTGTTTGGTGATCCAGAATTATGAATGTTCCATGTGGGTTTGAGAAAAATTATTCTGCTGTTGTTGGATGGAAAAAGAAAAATACCTTTACAGTGACAAACTGTCCAGTAAATATTCTGGAGCTAGTCCTTTCGAAGTTGAATTGCATGTTTTTGTTACAGTTGTCATTAAGATTTTGTAAAAATAAACTCAAATTTCCCACTCTGGGTCAACATCATACTTGCTGAAGTGCTATGTGATACTTTTTGAATTACTTATTATTTTAAAATATTGAATTCTGGGACCGGGTTTTAGCTCAGTGGTGCTTCCCACCTTGCTTTGCAAGGTCCAGAGTTCGATCCCGGTACCAAAAAACAAAAAACAAAAAACATTGAGTTCTGTTCCATTATTAGATCATGTGTTCCCAATTTTAGGTTAAAGACATAGTCACACTACTCATTACCCGGGACGTCTCTCCCAATTCCCACTCCGTAATAATCTACCAACAGAGATCCATGGCTCTCATCTTAAAGTGGCCATAACTAAAAGTGACCCAGAAACCGCCTTGGATTTAAATCCTAGAGTGCTGACAAAGTCTCCAACCCTGTTTTCCTTGTCACTCGAATGCAGTACTGCAACAGCTAGCCTCTTCGAGGGCCGTTTCAGCTGCAGACTTCGGCGGTTAATCGCACCCCTTCTTGGAAGAGAATTCACATGAGGCCACTGTGGTAAACTTGGTAACTGATTGTCAAGCTAACCGTACAGAGAGTCAGGGTGATTTCTTTTCGGAAAGCCTTCTCGGGCTAGCACCCCGCGCCGGCGACAGGGCGCGCAGATGCACCACGTGCCGGAGCCAGCTGCAGGATTGGAGGAGCGCGTTTTAGCGCTGCGGGCTCGACCCGCTCGGCCCCACCCCACTGCCAGAGGAGTCGAG